ATTTATTTAGGTTATGTTTACGTATCAGAAGCCGAGTTGCAACAACAGGAAGGGTTAAATCTATCTATCCCGTCTTTCTACTGGGTAATTGACAGGCTATCCTGTGGGGTGGTTCAATAAAACTCTGCATGAAAACATCTCCGCTATGTTGAAGTAACTAGCTCCACGGTCACGGATGCCCCTCCCTCGGGGACAGAAAGAAGGGGATGGTGAGAAGGGACAGAGACTCAGAAGGGGGTAAAGTGGGGAGGGAGGACAGGTATGGTACAGGTAAAACACAGGTGTAACATTACCTGGCTACACCTGCGTCACACCTGTGCCGAGACGTGTTTGTAGGTGACAGTTTAGAGTTAGAGGTCTTACTCTGTGTTGTCGGGTGTTGGATATAGTTTGTACCTCAGCGGAAGAATGTTGAGGAATGCCTTGTGGGGGGATGCTGAACGAAGGGCGGGGATGTAAGTGGGTTGAGGGGGAGGGGAGGAGAAGTATCTGTATGATTGACAGGTAAGCCTTCATGTGAAAGCAAACATGAGAAATCGTCGCTGGCATTCAGGGCGAGTTAAAAACATAACATATAATATGCGAGTACTGAGTCCAAGCAAAGTGTCAAAAGAAAGTTGTCCCTCTGATTCAAATAGAAAAGTTATGAATTCCTAAAATTTACAATTACGCTTTAGTTTTAATACCCTTTAACCCTGTTTTCAAAATGAAAACCATCTGAATCTGTGAACAGATATACATTGTATATTCAGTTATCGTGATGAAGGCGTAGATTCTGATTCAAGGTTATTACAGCGCACGACTAAAACCCTAAACATATGCACAAATGTTGCAGTTGCACCACGGATACATATTTCCCCAAAACATCGGGTTTTTAAAGCCCCTTGGGTCCAATAGGGAATCGGTTGGTCAGAATGGCGACTGATTATGAAATTAAAAACATTTAGATGAATCTGTATCCACACGAAGGACCAACACTTTGACCATCACGTGACTGCTTTGTAAGCCAGCGCTCCCCCGACGGTGGGAATAATCAGGAATAATCGCGTTCAAACGCCGAATATTTTTCCAGTAGTCTAATTACCTGACATTAACACATATTCCGGCGTACAAGACTTCCACTCACTCATTTCACGTTCAGGAGAGCAGTCATAAGGTGACATAAAGGCACCAAGGTTACCATAGCAACGATTTACCTGGCGTCGATTTCGACCAGAAATGGGTCTCATGCTGTTGTGTTTTTAGTTTATTTTGTGCAAGTGGATTGAGAGTAAATTTAGTTTCAAGGACCTAGTTGCTTCCCAGGACATGTGCTGCTTGTAAAGGTGACAGTTACCTCCCTTGTTGCAGCGTTGCGGGCAGGTGCGAGTGGCCATTTATCTTCTACAATGACCACGCCCAACTTTGTTAAACACGGGCACCGCACACGTTTTAATTACGATCAAATTAGGGGTTCAATAAACGGCTCAATTTGTCCTCCATATTACGTCTTGTGAACAGACGCCTTTTAAAATAAATGACGACTTTGAAAAACGAGCTCACGGACCGTGGGCATATTTGAAAATATAGAGCCTAAACAAAGCTTGGAACAAAAAGCACGTACCTACCCAACTGGGAGTTCTAACGTGGTGATATATTTATCAAGTGTAATTACGTGAAATTAAAGCACAATGCACGCAAATTATAGTTCAGGCGTTCTCACGGCGCATGGTCGTTTTAAATTTGAAATTGAGATGCCATGGTTTGGTAGCGGGAGATCCTGAACTGGTGCTGCCACCTTGCGGCGACAGGACGGAAACCGTAATTCTTCATTTCTAAATACTATTTATCACCAATTTAATTGACGTTGGGTGTTTTCCGCTGGATCCGAGAATCCTCGATAATTTGATCAGCTTAAGTTTGTGTCATTTTTTCTCTAATGGCTGTAGGAAAGAACTGATTACATCCTCAATGGTGAACTGTAATTGTTGCTACTATACCTCCCATCACGGATCTGGCGGGAAATAGACGCAGTATTTCCCCCGAACTCGAGTCTTCGGGCACCGTAGCAGATTGACGCGCAACGTACGTGTCTTTGTAGACTGCGGGTTGGTCTGGACTGACAGTGGAATGCTGTGATTAACGAGACACAATTTCCACACGACCATTTGTGCTTTGCTTCGGAGTTGGGACGGGGGACTAGGGAGGCAATCATACGAATTCGAGATCTTGGCCAATTCTTGTGAATAGGCATTAAATGGCCCTATCAATGCAAACCTCTTCAATCAACGTCTTAAAGAGAGCTTGTACGCTTTTACCGATAATTTCAAGGATTAAATTTGACTTTCCGTGTTATTTTGCCGTTTAATGTCATTCTCCAAACTATCTGTTTAATGAATCAATTGACAAATTGGCGGCGCTTAATGTCGCTACTGTGTATCGGCTTGTGAGGAATAATTTGGTAGGGGAACCTGAATTGATGCTATATGATATCCATGACAGGAGTTGTAATTACATGATATCAGTTCTTGTGGAGGGTATAGTTGCATGATATCATCACAGGTGACACTAACAAGTGATATCATATAACATTCAGCAACTTTGTAAGTCTTTCCTCGTGTGTATCCCGGGGTGTTGTTTTTTTCTACAACAATATATATTTCCTGAAACATTTCATCTTCATCAAACACCCGATAAATCTATTCACCAAGTTCACCGTCTACTTCATTATTGTCGGTACGCATTGCGGCGGACATTCTTTCCTGAACAAAAGAAAATCAATAAAAGTTGTTTCGAGAAACAATCAAAGTCCACTCGCGATACATACGTGTAGAATAAAAAATAGTTTATGAAGAAAGACAATATTTCTTCCTTATATAATTGTTCAATAAATTTCTTTGGCCATCACATAGCTGTGAGCGGCGTTTACTCACACATACACATATTGCATTCCTTGGAGGATTCATGCTTTTGGATTCAAGATTTCTTTGATTTAGACACCTTTTGCCATATTTGTTTGGTTAATCCGTTTAGCCATACACACTTATATAATTGATATGCAACTCTTTATATAATTACCATATCAATACCATGTATGTGAACGCATTGATGACGGGGCAGGCAGTAGTCGAGTGCATCACAGTCCAGGAAAATACAGTATGTTGTGTTCTAGTATTTGCATATAAAGCCATCTATTTTAGTGTTTTCTAAATAAATTTGCATTACATGTGGTGCAGTCTTGTACTCCATACCGGTACTGTTGATGTTTGCCATGCATTCCATGGAGAACATGTTCATTACATATGCAAACTTATACTGCATCTTTACTGCAAAGGTTACGTTCATACAAGCATGATCCCTAAAACCTCATTCGTTATATTCTGATATAGTTTTATAGTTAGGACATTTTGTGAAAAATGAAACAATGTAATGTGAAGATTACCGAGAAAAGAATACAAGAAAATATCGGATATTTTCATTGATAAGATTATTTCTATGGGCAGTTTGGGGATAAGGCATTCAGGAAACAAGTAGGCATTCCCGTGGGTACTGTTTGTGCTCCTTGCTGATCTGTTTCTTTAAGCATAGGAATCGTATTTCTGCTTGGATTGGTAAAATAAAGAAAGCAAATCTAGCCAGTAAGTTAACTTTAACATTCGTGTATAATCTAATATCGTTCAATAACGCTCCCTTCCCTTCCACCGATTCACTCATCAGTGCAGGACTATAGAGCGACTATAGAGATCGCCTCTTCTGTTTTATATTTAGGTATATGCAAAAGACCTCCCCAAAATTTGTAGGACATTGTATGTATGACCCCGGATGTAGCAGTCCTTAAGATGCATAGTGGTGTTTTCCTGTAAGTTTCACAATTTATTGTTGGCATTCTGCATTTTTTTGAGTATTATCATAAAGCTATGCCGCTGATATATAGACGTGAAAAACCAACACATCTCTAATCTTACAATACCTGTACTCATCTGTTGGCACTGCACACAAATTACGGTCGTAGTTTACATGTGTATACTCTCTTGATTAATAACGCTAAGGAATTACTCTGCAAATTGTTAAAAAAATCGCCACTACGGTGCTATTTCTACGATTCTCAGTTTAATCAAAACGCCTGTCACAACATCTCTGTGTCCGTTCTTCATGTTAAATCCATCAAATAAAACACTCGTTAGAACATGTACTTGAAACTGTCTGTTAAACGTTATCAAGCAAATATAACTTTGTGGACTCTACTCTCTTGAATACCCCAGTTTTGTCAATCATAACTTACGCCTTGCAACACCTTGTCCACAGTTCTTTGGTCGCTATTCATTAGCTCAATAGCGTCAACAAATGACGCTAATAATATGTCATAAATTTTACAGAAGTGAAATATAAAACAATTTACGTAACATTTGTATCTCGAAAAAGTTAAAAGCCTTCAAAATTTAATTTTCTACAGTCAAGCGCCAGGCTCGGAGCTGTCAACACAATAGGTAGGTCACATGTCTGTACTTTTTAAAATTCATAATGCATTAACTGTATGGTTCTCACAGATATGGCACTCAAATCTGTTACCTCATACGGTATTGTTTTCACCCTGTGTAAACGTAGTGTGTTACGCTGTTCAATGCAAATAACGCAGGTTGAACAAAATATTGATGTATAATTCTTGGTACCTGTTGTACGCCATGTCACTGCAAGCTGTTCCAGGCGTAACAATACACAATCAAATAGTTTGAATTCATAAACAGAGATTTTACATTTATTGTGCTTCGCTTGCTCACTGGCTGTCAATAGCGCCTTGCAAAAGTGCTGCCACCTAGCGGGCGTCGACTTAAATCAATCAACCAATCAGCGTGCAGCATTCTTCAGATTCCGCCCACCAGGGCAGTAATTGACGTGTAATTGGTCGCAGAGGATAGGGGCGTGCGGCTGTCTTTTCAGAGGCCACGACGGAGGCAGATAATGAAAGCGATCGTAGGCCTGTGGATTTATTCTCCGAGTAATTGAGAGCCTAGAAGGACAAGACGTTGAGACCGGGACATAGCCTTGTGTACCACCATCCTGCGTCGTCTTGCACACACAACATCACCATCCCACCTCGGCTACTACAGCTGTCGAACGGAACGCAACGTTGTTACCTGGAAGCTAACTGCATACGCAGTCACGATGACAGCGACAGCGTTGGAGACGCCACTACCTACGAGGAAAAGTCACGGGTTTTCTATAGAATCTTTGATAGGACGGAGAGATGACGACAAATCGGTCAGTAGCCCCCCAAGCCCGGGGGTGCGGCGATCTGTGAGCCCCGGGGTGCGGCGATCGCTCAGCCCTAGGGGTAGAAGTCCTGTTAGTCCTACGGAAAGGACCGAAAAAATGACAATATCTCCTGAGATGGAAAACAGATGCTCATCTTGGTCGGGATCGGACTTAAAACATTTGTTTAATAGTTTCACTAACCACTCAGACACTAGTGTGTTTCAGCCATTAAGGGTGTGTAATAGAATTCTCCCCAATCTCACATCCCCTCCTTTCGCGCCGCATCAACTCACCACCCTCCCCTTCAACCCCCTTTTGTACGGGGTAAACAGAGACATTTCCCCAGCGCATCACCCATGGATAAACCGCTACTCTGGATTTGTGCACCCTCGATATCCAGGTAAGTCGCCATATCTTCTCCCATGCAGAACTGGAAACTACCTTTTATGTATTACAGTTTATGCATCATTGTAACCCATGTATCCACTCTTCGTTCTTTTAATCTACAGCTGTTAAAATACCTAAAGAAATTAAATGACATTTTAAAATGCGAATTTCCCTTTAAGGGATTTGTTTGATTGCGAGTAAATTTTTATCCATGAACATGTTTTTAATTCAAATATATGTATTTATTTGGTGGCGCTTTTAACCTACATGAACATAAAACCACGTTTATGTTTAATTGAACACATTCCCTCCATCTTCATCAAGGAGTTCAATATGAATTATTATTCAATTTAGACAATCAAATTGATACAATAATTCATGTATTCGATTACTTCCATTACTGTTATATGAGTTTACTATTATTAGTATTTGAGTTTGGAATGCAACAAATATGGACAATAACATTTCCCAAATCAATGACACATTATTTTACTTAGACCAGTAGGTGGTCCTAATCTTTCTTCAAATTGCCAACACACTGTTCAGTCAGGTAAACTTATATTGGGCGCTTTCAAGTCAGCTTCTTTTACAACATTGTGTGCAATTCACGAGACCACCATCCCATAAGCACATGAAATACAGCACAAAATATTATTGGCACACTGCCACGCATGTTAGTAAAACACACACTGCAAATTCTAATAAAATGTAAATGTGTTAATAACACCAAATTCAAACACATTTTCAACTGGTTATGTTTACCTTCTGGTGTCAGTGACAGTGTTTGTAGTATAACCGAACCCGATTCCATGAGTTATTCGACATTTTCTATGTAAGGTTTGATTGTTCAAGCCGACCCTGTTCTACAAGACACTATCCAGAATTCAGAGGAATCGATCGCCCATTATGAAAACTCCATGGACCATTGTAATATTACATAAAATTGTCATTTGCAATATTAATTTCAAGACATAATTATACTTCCACGCATTGTCTCCACGTCTCGCTTCCACTAAATCAAACAATTAGTAATACAAGCCCAATGCGATGGGTTAGAAATCAGACAATCGCATAACAAATATTTCTCGCTCAGTCTAGTAGCGTTTCGATCGATGCCGCTTTGTTGGGTACTTGTGGTTGAGGGATGCTTTTATAGGGAATTAATAACCTCTCAATCCTCTCCGTGTTGCCGAGGCAAAGCCCTGCTTTCTTTACAGCTGGATTGTGTAAACATTTTCGCTCAACTGCCCTCATATATTCCCTGTGTCCCCAGATGCTGTCACAAACTGCCGTATGTCTGTCAGCATCCGTTCAGCTACGCGACCCTGTGACGGCTTGTCGTAACTCTGTCAAGCTTATCTTAAAATCCTCGAAGACGGGGAAATTTGTACTTATCGGGAAAAAATCCTCAAATATTTATATTCTTTTGAAAAGCTTGAAAATCGGATTTCGTGAAACACGCCAGTTTGTATTCTTTTTATTTACGACAAAGCAACGTGTGTTTATCAAAGGAGCGGTGACACATTTAAACAACAAATAAAGTTATAAATCGTATTATTTCCATTACCTGTCAATGTTGTATTGCATATAACATATAAGAACAGCTCTTCAAAATGTGTCAAACGAATGATAACGGTTTGAATATTTTGACAATAAACAAAGACAAATACATGATACACGGGTATTTTTGCTGCTTGTGTATTTTATTAGTTTACAATAACCAATAACAAGGGCTAAATACTTTAGCTTTTTAAACAGAACGCTGATTATTTTACAATGTGCTCCAACATTCATTCATACATACAACTAGACACATAGGTATCTATTATATATATGAAAATGATTTAAGAAATAACTTCCAATGTAATACTAAATGCATAAACAGACCCATGCATACATGTATCTAACTTTCAAAGTAGTCTTAAAGTATTCTTCTATTACTAACTTTTATTTCACATTAATTTTAATTCCGTAATAAAATAACTGTTGTATTCATAAAGTCCATATCTTCTACATTGCCCCTGTACACGTAAATATTACCATTCTTTAGACGATAAATACCACTTTATACCGATATTATCCGTTTCTAAAAATAAAATAAAGATATGAAAGACATATATGAATGCTGGAGATCCCGGCGTACAATAGATAATCGACTATTTGAGTGATTGAAATGGGAAGCACATTGTACGGAACCTGCGCGGTGTTTGTACGCTGCACGGAGACAGAGCAACCGAAGTTTACTTTCACGCCATGGCGTATTACAGTGTTGATTTTGAAATTCGATATCATGAATAAATAAACTCGTGAAATAATAATGTGGTCGATCCTCCGTATCATTGTTTTCCTAGTTTTTCTTCAAAACACCCCCACAAAACAGCCGGCGTGAGTTAAGCCGGATTCTATTTTATAAAACATCTTAGATAAACTTTGCATCGCTGTGTGCTATTTGAAAAATGAGTAGTATAATAGACTTCAAGTAAGGTATTAAACCTTTGAAATGGCTTTTTAAATCAACGGTTACCGATTTTTGTCTTATGAAAATATGTTTTAGCACGAAGTATCTCATTTTACAAATATACAGTGTGTAGTGACAACACTCGTGGCGTACATGTATTACATATGTAACGTGTAAACAAAAATGCTTATATTTTGTCAATGTAAACAGCATATAATTCTGTCAAACAAAGATACACGTTGGATTAATAAAAACAGGTTATCCCCAGATAACATGTGTACAAACGACCGCATGCATCTGTCATTAAGTAATACAATAGTGATAACATGCTACGAAGACGTGCAAATATATACGGCGGAATTCTCACGTTCCAATATCAGGTTATATTTACTATATTTAGTCATCGGTGTTTCAAATACATAGAAACATATAGCTGCCGTTTTGAAGACTTTACACTTGACAAATACGAAAGAAAAAATCCAAAACTTTGTATACAAGTGTCACAAAGCAGTGGTGGTGTAAAACTAAATATTTTTTTACAGGTCGTCAATATTAAATATGAAGTGAAATATTAAAAAATTCAATGTAATGTTCTATGTATGCTTGTTCACTAGATTTCTTTTAATCGAAAATTGAATTGACTATTGAATCTTTATTCTTAAGATATTCTGTCTGTCTGCCTATTCGCTACTGATTATTTTGTGGCATTGATCTTATATATTTAATACTAAAACTAATGAAAAGAATTATTCGAACCTGATTATGCGGTGATAGCTTCGTAGGTGCATATTCACAGAAAATAAATTCTTTGGGCAAAACACAAGCGACAGTGGTCTTTAATCCAGCAGCATTTTCTCAAACACACAATAATCACAATCAGTATCGATCGAAAAGATCGATTCCTGAGCTAATATTTACAGGCTAGAACAACCCTATATCATTACAGTACAATGCAACGCATCGAACTTTTTATCATCTGTTTCATTCCCGAGGTGCCATAAATAATGTTTTCAAACAAACAATCATTTATCAATTTTCCAGTTGGACCCCCACCCGGTTTGCTGTTTCACCCCTACAGAAAGCCCAAGAGGAACCGCACAGCGTTCTCCCCCAACCAGCTTCTGCAGTTAGAACAGGCGTTCGAGAAGAACCACTATGTTGTGGGACAGGAACGAAAGCAGCTAGCCGGCAAACTACAGCTTACAGAAACACAGGTACGTTAAAGGGGATCTGTAGGCGTGTAGTGTAGGGCTTTGTAACGACACGTGAGACTTCAGGGTATACGACCGACTGCATCCCGATGTTCGGGTAGTGGAGGGGTGATCGTAGGTGAGATGGTGGCGTTGCTGGGTGAGTGGGGACGGGTGTCATTGTACAAAAACAAATCTGTTACCTGTCAGAGGTTTGGGAGAAGGTAGTGATTGTGCTTTTTTGTATTAAATATGAAATTACATACCCGCGAGGAACAAGGGTGGTGACGATTTAGGGTGGGGTGAGAAAGGTTAAGAGTGTTATGATCTTGGTTTAGGGGTCAAGGTGTTTACGGTTTAAGACAGGAAGGGGAAGTTAATGGTTTTGACAGGTATTTAAGGGGTGGGGTCATGTAGGGGGTAGGGTAGGGGTGGGTTGGTCTAGTGAGAGTGACACTGCAGAGACGTACTTAGTTTTAAGTGTTGAAGCTGGTCCGGTTGGGGTGGGATGGGAACGGGTTAGATGAAGTGATATTGTGTCTTATAGGGATGGGATTGATGTCTGATTTCTAATAGGGACAGGGTGTAAGAAAATACAGTGATTGTCAAGAGCTGAAGGGTTCTGAAACAGAAGAAACTGCTCAATAAAGTCAGTTCTTGCCGTGAACTCGGATGTTTACGATTAGGGAATATACTTTTATATTCTTGTGCATGACTTGAAGCTTCATCTATTGGTAACACTTATTTTAATGTAGATATCGTTAATATACGCACTGCAGAGAAGGATATGGAAAAACATGACGTGTTTGATAAATGTATTATTCGAATCATAAATACTGTATCTATATATTCCAGTATAGTAAATCGAGACCTGTATTTTATTAATCAATACACGAACTCAAATCGGACGTTTGAAACAAACACACGTTTTCTATTACCCACAGAATGGTGTAGGTTGAAGGTTACTAGAGAAACATTTCCACGGATCATCCATCCTGGTCAATTCAATTCAGCGAGTACTTGACAAACATTATCACGCATATGATATTCAATGAACTTAAAAATACAGAACCCAGAAAATCGACAATACAAAAGATATTATACATTTGTAATTGGTTGACGAGTTCCTCTGTATGAAAGCGGATATAATTTTCTAAAACATAGATTATAGTGAAGTGTTTCGTCAAACACGCTATAACTAGAAGAAAGGCGTCAATTGAATGAATATCCGTCATAGTTTATACATCTCATTTCCCGTCCGCTAAATAAACAGAATGAGGACGCGTATAGGCGTTATCATTATAATTGCATCAAACAAATACAAGGTTGTTTTGTATCTTCTGAAATTACACATCGAATAAAATATACAAATTATTTCACCACGCATCGTTGTATTTTACTAACATCGTTGTGTAATGAGGGCAGTCGACACAGACAACGCCGCGGACACTTAAACCGATGTGTTCTTCCTGTGTTGGTCTTAGATTACGTGTCAACAGTAGACAGGCATTGATTTGGGGAACAATTATGTTATTTTGCAACAAGAAATTGGTGGTAGGAATAATAGATAGGAAATTATTAAATACACAATAATTATCTTTCGTAAGGAGGAATTTATCTACGTGCGCTAAGCTGGAATTATATTAATTTATGATATATGTTTTTAAGAACATGTTGTTTGAGGGTATTTTATTGTTTGCCTGGTAAATATGCGACACCAGAAGCTAATGTGTGGAATCGTTTTAGTTTTATGGAAAATGAACGTGTTTTGAAACTCACAAAATTAAAAATCAATGTTTTGTTGAAACTGGTAGAAAAGTTTAAAGTACATTCATCGTGACAGACTGTAATTACACGCAAACTCGGCACGGTATAATTACATCATGCTAATCTGTTTTGAGGTTTGCCTACCCGCAGATGGACTCGACAAATGGCTCCAAAACCACAAAATCAAAAGAAATATTATCGGATTTATCTCCATGAATTTGTAAACGGGTCTTTAGTAGTTGTTGCAGGGAGTAACTCGACCTTTGATGAGGAGCAAGGCGTAAAGTGCCTCTCCCAAACTCCCACCCACGGGCTAAGCAGCCCCCTAGGCCCCGAGAGTCTAATGATGACGCGGTCATATCATCCCGACCCCCAGAGCCCAACACTTTGACCCCTCTCTCCTGGGTCCGGATTAACAATCTCAGGATTTTCCCGGGGGAGGAGTTTCAAGCACACTCATAATGTATTATTGCTGCAGAAGGCTTATTTGGAAACCATCGCATTAATTTGCAAGGATTAAAGAAAGTTTGTTAAATGAAGCAATTTCAGAGTGACGATGACAAGGGTGGTGTGTTATTGCTATCAGCTGAGACTCTCGGGGGGTGCCGGGTTTCTCAGCCCCGGGGGTGCAGCTCGGCGTTGTAATTGAACAATTATCGCGGCCTTACGTCTCCTGCCACTACCACAACAATCATCAACAACAAATCACTGATATTGATCTGGACGGGAGATTGGGGCTAACTGGCCCCTTGTTCAAGACAGTTAAGAAACGGAGGTTATAGCTAAACAATTCATCAGATCAGGACACGATAACAGTGGATTCCCGTGTTAACGATAGTTGTAGATCGCTATTATTCTGTCAATGGCTTAATTAGCACGCACATATTATCTGTCCTTTGCGAACGCCCTCAAAGAGGATAATGTTTATTCATATAACCCTTTCCAACTTGAATTAATGTTTATAAAGTATCCGTTGAGTATATAAAGAATAAGTGATAAAATGGTACCAGTCAAGCATCTTCTCTGACGTCCTCGACCAATTTTTGAATGGAACAGATCAAATTTCAACAAATATTATAAGATTCTCTTTTATTCAAAAGAGAATGACAAAGAAATTACGAGGCGGTGATTGAGCTGATGGTTGGATATTTGGATGTGCCTGTTTACGCGTCGTAAACTAGAGGGGCCGCTTCTCCAGGCAACGGCCATTGTATTCTAAGTCTCGCGGTGTAACGTGAGAGGTGACGAGACACGATTAGCCCGTGTAGTAGTGATTGTCTTCATCACAGTTATCGTTTGTGTGGCACGTCGCTTAGCCCAGTCTAATTACAGGCCCATTATCACAAACATAAACTGCCTTTGATATGCTGTGAAGGACGCAATCCTGAGCCACTTGGAACTCCCTAGGGGGAGGGACCTGCTATCTGAGAGAGGGGCGAGGAGTAGATTTATACCCAATTTATCGATAACGTCACAGAAAGGACTCTCATCTTACACCGTCACTCGACTCTTTAGCTTCAATGCTCTTTGTGATTCTCCATGTTTCCCTTTCATAAACGTTTCGAAACCAAACATCTTATTCCCGATTTTATTTTTCAGGTTAAAGTTTGGTTCCAGAATAGAAGAACAAAACACAAAAGAATGAAGGCCGAGGAAGAAGCTGGAGTGACGTCACCAGATGGCGCTGACTGCAACGGCTGCTCACGTGACGAAGATTCGCATTTATCACGTGACAATCACGAGGACAGGAGCGAGATGTCGGACTCGGAAATTGACGATGTTGACGAGGACAATTGCTCAGAGGAGGACGAGGTGTTATCCGTTGCTGGGGATCCCTGAATTTCCATTGGTACATTGTGGTATGGTTCTAACCAATCAGATCTCTTCCTTGACCTCCATGGTCACGTGACAATGCTCAAAATGCTCAGCCAGTTACATCGTCTGTGCAGTCAATGTGCCACAGCTCGACACCTACCCAATAAGGGAGATGATCTGTGACGTCATCGACGTCCGACGCAGTTAAGAAAGTGCTAAGGATTCCGTCCCGAATCATGTGAGAGAATGAGATGCGCAAGAACAATGCGCGCTCACATGCACGTGTAAACAGTGCTACAGACAGGCTGTCCAAAGAGCGGCGCATCGTCATACTATGAAACGCCCACAACGCATTTTTTGCTATCTTTCATAATAAAGACAAGATTCTAGAGATGCTGTCACTGACTAATAAGCTTTAATATCAAATACTGTTTTACCATAATTATTTATTTTTTTCTCTTTAGAATGTTGTATTTCTCTAACTATTGTCAAAATAGACATTCTACAAACCAAAGACTCGACTGAAGAGAAGGAATGTTACGGGCAGTCACGTGTTAGTGCGCGCGCACACCTACGTGTGTCACGTGACAAGTGCTGTACGATGTTGATGAAGTCGTTGTTATGTGTGGTGCAGACTATTTTACACAGAAAATATACTTTGTAAATTGTGAATAAACATGTGAGAAATATTTTTTTGGGAGATTGTTGTTTTGTACCGAATCTTTCAGGGAAATATATTGCTCAGCTTTCATACTGGCCACACTCACTGTTTTAATATATGTAAAACACGGTATCTTGAAATATAGTATTTACATATAATTAGATACATTTTCACTTTCATTTGATATGTTCATAAACCAAAGAGACGCTTGATCGAGACATATACCCTGTTAGCTTTGCTTATTTCAGGCTTACATTGTTGAAAAAGGAAAAATATATTTTCAACAAATGTTTATCATTTTGAAACAGTTTACTTTGGATGATACCTATATTGAAATATGAAAACAGTTTTTATCATAATCCCTGTACGCAGAGGACAAGTCCGAAGCAATAATATTAGGAAAACGGAAAATGATACAATTACGAAAACTCTATCAAACAATCCATGATTTCGAGTCATATCCATTCAAATATTAAATATTAAATTAATTTTAAATAGAGATGCTAAAAAGATCAAACATGATTTCACTACACGAAGCCAGTTATCTGTGTACTTTATTAATAAATGATATGATTCGAATTCTTTAGTACTGTTTGAACATATGACTGAATTTTACACTAGGATTGATCAAACTTGCTCCTTTTGCTAGGTTTTTTTCCTTGCTGAGAGATTAATACATTGATATAGAGAAATACAACATGGCTTCATGCAAACACTGAAACGTAACGCGAAGCATTTCATATTTACTTAAAGGCGTTATTTTTCAGATGATTATCAATAAACCACAAGAAGTCATATTTTAAAAAACAACTTGGCGATAAGAACATCGAAAAGAACCCTGAACATTTGAACAGAGTTTATAGCGTTATAAGACAGGGTTTATTAATGGGATGTTTTGGTTCTTGTGATGTATTTTTGAACGGTCAATTTGACATCATGGAATGAATGAATGAATGAATGAATCTCTTTATTTCCTCCAGATTGTAGTCCGAAGATCATTATAAACATGTACATGAAATATTTACAGCAACATAATCACAGCAATATATTCACAAAACATTCATATAGTCATATATACATGTACAAAGAAAATGAGAGGTCTAGAATGCACAGTTTAGTGAGGGAAGCAAGGAATATAGGTATTTACAGAAGAGGACAATCATACATCTCCATGACATTTCATCAATATCGTTAGTTACTAGTAGTTCACCCCCAGAAAATAGTGATAACATTTCATCTTGAGATAATAATTCTATTTGTACATAAACATCCACATCAAAGAGATCTATAAGTTTTGAAAAGAAATTATTTCTGTTGTACATATAGTGTATTTTTGAACGGTCAATTTGACATCATGGTGTCTTTTTATTACAACGTTATGAATTATGTCATATAGTTTATTATCAATTATTTATTATGAAAACCTATATGATTAACACATGCATGCAACTAACCACACAAACATAGTCCATTGTATATAAATGAAACGCTGGCAATATAACAATTTTGTAAATGTCACAATTCTACAACTAATAACATATATAAATTCGTTTTTCTTGTTCAATGTACAAGTACATACATGAAAATTAATGTTTGATAAATACATGGTCATTTGACCAAAACATTTAAAGTCGGTCTCACATATAGACATATCCTGGATACAGCTCATTTTCGCTGATTCCTTATACGTTACATGTTATTTTATCGAACGGTTTTTGCACACAGTAACGTGAGTTACCCTTCTAATATAAACTCTGATGATAATTATAGTGAATAATAAATGGTGAATAATATTACACTGCTGGACAAGAGAAAGTATACAGTGACGTTTAGAAGTAGCTAAAATGAAACAAACAAGATCAGGTTAATCGATGCTTTTTATATTTAGTTTGCAGTGTTCGGGCCACCTTTTTTAGCTGAGTAACGTTTTAGTATTTTGTACTTTTTCTCTTATCTAATTTTCAATGTATACTTTCTCTAGTTCGGCTGTTTATTAACCCTGCACGGCTTGTACTACAATCTATGTATCAACATCCAATTTAATCTTTTTACACCCCGACAGATGAAATATGCTGCCAATTTACAAGAAAATCATCTGCATGATGAACATTCAAAAGGATTCAACGCAGCATAGAATTACAAGAGCGTTAAAATCTTCGTTGTATGTACTTGATGAAACTTTAAAACATCAGTTCTTTAAACAACAAACACTCCGACATCATTCATGATTATATTGAGGGTCACTGAATAAAGACACAAATACTTTATGACATGGGTACATGCGGCGTTTCACTAATTTATAACAAAAATACGTTTACCAATGATCGTTTATAAAGTGTACATTTATACATAATTCTTAAACTACTCTTGCCGCCCCTATCATTAGTGTTAAACAACACACGCTGTATTTTTTTGGATCAAATAAAAATTAATTTCGGGACATTGTAGATCTACTTCAACCGAATATATAACAGTATCAGTTCTATGGATATGCAACTTATCTATTACAATAGATGCAACGTTTAGTTACTTCAGACATTATAACATCGTAAGTTTCATTATCATCTTTTGCAGACCAGTTCCTCGCTTTCTCAAACATGCATTATCGTGTCTACCTTCATGAGTTGTACAGAGCATCGGGACCATTAGCAACGGTATGACATTAAACAGGACATTGTGACATTAAACAAACCATGTAGCATTGATGTAAATGATGTGTGTGATTGTGCATCAGTATTGTTCGATTTTATGTTCATTCGTTCAGTTATACCAGACGCTTTATTGGTTATGCTAATGTAAATGCTAATATAAATAAATAAATAAATCAATAATGAATAAATAAATGAAATAAATAAATAAATAAATAAATAAATAAATAAATAAATAAATAAATAAATAAATAAATAAATAAATAAATAAATAAATAAATAAATAAATAAATAAATAAATAAATACGAGAACAGAAAACAAATGAATATTTCTTACTTATTACTTATTTTTTGACGGAGCTCGTTTTGGCTGACTAGGCTGGGAGGCGGGTGTGCCATGAAATGGATCAATATTGGTCATGGATATATAGGTTTTATTTGCAAAATAACGTGTGATATCACCCAGTTTTTTCACAAGTAGTTGCATTCGTACGTTTTTCAAAGTTAACGAACAAAGTGTTAATATTTCTGAGTCTTTGCGTTGAAAGGAAAGGTGGAAAGGGGTAGAGGCCCGACGTGTTGTTGAGACGGGAGAGATGAACGTGGTCGCGTTGGTGGATCGGACGGATAGGTAGGTCTAATTAGAAGTCGTGGGTGGGGGTGAGATGTAGGGCTCCGGGGTGGCCTATCTACTCCTGCTGTCAACATGTACGCTGTCGCTTAACGGGACATTTACGACCTGTTCGTACAACAGTATATCCAGAAACGATTTGTCTTCGTTATATGATAACTTTCTCTCATTAAAAACCTGTCATATACGTCGCTAGTCTGTTTCGTCCCAAGAGTGGGCATTGATCATATATATCACAAGTGACATTGACACGGCGTTCCTGCAGGTCACATGACCAGTGGGAAGGCAATACATATGTGTGTGGAATAACCCCCATAGCAGAATACCAGACCAGCCAATCAGAACGCAGATTGTGAGAGACTTCGTGGAGGCTGCATGGTTAGTTACGAGAGACCGTAAAGCGTGGAGAACTTAGGGCTCGTTTACGGAAACTCATCAACGACGTTAGGAAAAAAACAGCGAGCCACACATTAATCATAAACTCCTTGCACCGAGAACGATATAAGGACCAGGATTAATCAGAAAGATTGATAGATTTCGGAACTAATGTTCACAGTTTAAACAGCAAACTGCCCTCTCCCCTATGTGCGCACGTGTGTTAAAGCAACCATCTTAACACATCACTGTGTTTTATGTGTGGCTCTGCTGCTGCTGTTTCAAGAAAAGCCTCATCCCCAAGGCTTACGGGTCTTCTTTCCACTCTCACTGGTCTATCAAAACAAAGATCCTGCAAACTATATGACTACACTGCCGAGCTACTTTTGTTAAAATACATTTTTCATTTGGGTAGTTTTTGAGAAGCTTTCGTTAACGATTTCAAAGATTTCAGGGGTATTTTAAAAGTTCTCCCTTGATGCACTGCAAAGAATATTCTTCCTGTAAATAACAAGGAAATAATGGTTTTAAAACTGTGTTATTTGAATAATCGACGCTTGTTCCGTCCACCATGTTACAACTAAACCAATCATTGTGCAATCATCTGAACTGGTCTTTTCACAATTGCACGTTGCGACAACAAAACGATTCAACAAACCTGGAAACACGGCCATTAAAAGTCCTGCGAAAGACATTAGAGGTTTTGTTACAGGTGAATGGACAAGTAGTGTTTACTTGTTAAAAACGCTAATATTGTAGAATTTAATCGTGATCTCAGAGACCAATTAACAGTAAACTGATAAAGAGAGTTTTGGGTTCATTTGCATCATTACTCGACATCTCAATATTGATACCCACAAGAACTGTCATTTCACATCGAAACAAAGCAACTCCAGTGTGATAAAGTGCAACATTTATTGTTAAAAATTACAGACAACGGATTCATTGTAAAACTCATTTTTTATATTGTAATGGCGACCGAGGAGAGAAAGGGCATTTTATGATGTATCCATACCACAACATAGTTAATGTAACTGTAAACCTAATTTATGCGCCTTTCAAAAATTCTGGAAAATATCTGACATTTAAGGGTCAATTCATGTACAAATTAGTATCTTAATTATTCCTATTTGTTTCAGTATCTATGTTCTTTTTTGACGGAAGTAAAGTTTTATTACCTTTTCGGGGTTCGTCATAGATACGCTACATGCAATGCCGTCATAATATATTTCTATTCTTCTTTTGTGAGTACAGATATACATTGGACAAAGTGTCTGTTATTATATTTTCAAATGACCTTTCGAGAATACATTTACTAACTGTACTTATATTCATCCATTTGTTCGTGTTATTTACTTTAAATTGATTACTAGA